CTAAACAGCTGACAGTTGGACCTGTTCGGCCTGAAGCAGACTGCCTTGGGAAGAGACCTGTAAAAACAACTGGTTGTGTGCGAAAAAAACAACCAAAAACCAGGTTATTCAGATGCGAACACTCCCTACTGTATCTACACGGAGTGGAGCCGGCGCCAGTGTGGAAACCAACATAAATGGGTCCATGAATGTTTAGGGACAGTGTGACGTAGATCCTTCAGGCTTTTCAAATCCTAGCTTTTCACCATCTATTTTCTATAAGAAGCTAATGCAGAACATAGGTGTAGGAGATTGAACATGTTTTTATGTTCAGTCTGCATGAAAAACTCGGAGACAAATTAAAAACAGAATACTTATTTTTTTCTAGGTTCCACACTTTTACGTGAAATTAAGACTATACTTTTGCGTAATTACTTATATACAAAAAAAGCTACCTTTTTTAACAGACATTTGATGTGATACAATCTCTTTGCCAGATGGCTACAGAGATGCAAATACAATTTCAGTGTCACAAAGACTAAAGGGAAACTAGGCAGTTTTGGCTTGCTTTTAGCACCCCCTGGTGTTAGTTTGTAGAACTGAAAGAAAAACCCATCTCCTTGCTGAGCGTTCATTTTTTTAACAGCTTAATCTTACAGCTGAAAGGTCTTCCCAGCCTTCATTAGTGACTACAGGAGTGATTAATCACTAAATTAAACAAATCAGCTGTGTTCATGATCTAAAGCATGCAACAAATGAGCTGGAAGCAGACTGCTGCACCAGGTATGTGAGCTCAATTTTTTCTCTAAGTCCCAACAGAGCAGAAGAGCAACTCTGAAGTTACAAATATTCTGGTCACAGAGGGTGGTAGGGGCTGGGTTGCCTTTCATTAACCCTATAAATGGTCATTTTAGCACATCCTGGCTCAAGAAAACGATATAAAAATATGAAAACTTTGCAAAGTATCCCTTTAACAACTTTTGGTTCAGGATGTGTTACAGTATAGCAATTATGTAATAGTAGCAAATAGTAATTTTAGAGGGGACATTCCTGATCCATCCAGTAACTCTGAAATAATTTGGCACTCAAAAGGAAACCGCTTAAATTCAGATCTGTTGGCACAAAAAAAGTTAAAATGCTTTGTTGTACTTGCTGAAAGATTCACATCGTTAGTTATGAACATTGTCAAGTGACGAGAGGCCGAGACTCTAAGGCAATAGATACATATGCAGGAATAATACTCTTGATAAGCCAGAATATTAATTGGCAATTCCAAATGTGGGTCAGACCAACATGCTGTCATTTACAACACATCTGAATTAAAACAAACTTTATTCAAGTATGAAACCCCACTCTTCAGAGAAACTGATTATGTGAAATTTTTATTGTCTTTTTCCACTAAACACTGATAAACAACCGCATTACAGGTTTACAGAGAAAGAAGTCAGAAGTATAAAACACAGGAAAATTGAACATTACGTGGATGCTTAAACAGGAGAAGCACCAACTATGAACCACAACTTTAATATCCAGAGAGGAAAACAAAGACTCTAAATAGACTAAAAGTTGATGACAGTTGGGTCAATCCGCCTGACGTCCGTTTCATCATCAGCCGGGTTCACATTCTGGACACCTGTGGACAGTAAAATGACATAAATGGGTCATATATTCCTGGTTTTTCAACACACCAAAGTTAGCTTAACTATATAGAATGATGAGTGAAAATGTTTTGTCTTTAGTTTTAAAGGGGACCTATTATGCAAATCTGACTTTTTACATATTTTGTGTTGCCGTATCGGTCTCTACTGCATCTATAAACACACCAATAGTGGACAGACTGTCCATCCATTTTCTGTCATTTAGAAATATGCCCAAAAAAACACGTTTATCAACAAGTTCATGAATGTGACGGTAACTGCTCATTTTCACGTGTGGTCAATACCAAGCATGATAGTTTAAACAAAAGAAGAAGAAAAAAAAGCCACCCTATCAAGGGATGGATGGATGTGGCAGGTAACAGCTTGTCTCACTTAAAGTGATAGAGCAGTGAAACGGTTAATTCTGGAACGTACCGAACATATTAAAGAGCAAGACACCCCCTACAAAGTTGGTTTTACTGCACTCCCACTTCCTGTTTGAAAAATGCAACAAATGCTGTTGCCTGGCAGACCGAGGGTGGAGGCGCTTAGAAACACACACACAGGCTCACAACAACATTGTGACATCATAATGTACCAGCGGACATAATAGTGTACCTCTTAGCCAATAGCATTAGCAGATTTAAATTCAAATGCAGTGCAGGGTTGTCCTTAAGAGGGTGCAACACAGATTTAGCCAGAATATTTAAATTTAAACTAAGATGTACTTAAGTACCAAATTATCGACTACGTGTCTACAGCACAATTAGAAACTCATTTTTATATAGTTTATCAGCAAAATAAAGTAGATTTGGGGGTGACTTGCTCTTTAACAATAGAGGTTTACTTGAGTGATTTTACGCTAAACCAAAAAAACTTCATAAACATGTTTTGTTTAGAGCCCAGAACTATTTAAACTTATAATTTGTCCCCTTTAAAATATTAAACAGGTAGTTTTAAGAGTAATGTCATAAACATAATATCGTATGTTTTCCCAATTAACCACAATTTACTTTACAGAGGTACTTTTTCGTACAGGAAAAGCATGCTGAATAAGATCATTAGTTTTATACCAAATTTCTTCATATTTTGCTCAAGACGACATTGATAGGCAATTTTCAATATTCTTTAAGACTTGGTCTTTTTCATTCACAAGCCACATAAATCACACAAACTTTTAGTTTGGCAAAAAAAAAAGTATGATAACAGTTCAAATGTAAGAGATTTTCTAATATTCTATGAACCTAAAGCGATGTTGCAAAGACAATTCGACATCCTCCAAGTTGGAGAACTTCAGGAAACACGTTACAAATAAATAAACGTGGCACAGAAAGTTTAGGATGCTAATCACATTTTCTTTTAGAAAAATTAATATTGACATTACTTTAAAATAACTTCTATAAGCTATTATTAAACAATATTTAAAAAAAGAGAAGCTTACGTACCTTTGCATCAACTAAAAAAGGATAAAAATAATCTTCTTAGAAATACTTGGTGCGGTTGAGAGCTTTTTGTGCCAGCTGGCCACTCTCGTCTGTTATTTTTTCCCAGTCTGTCTGACCAACAACAAAACCAATAGCACGTTTTCGATCGGCATCCTTTTGCTCCTCCAGATCAGCCCATCGAACCTGAACAAACAGGGTTTCGAGTTAGAAGCATAAAATGAACAAATAAGCTTTATTCTAAATTGATTTCCAGACAATGTCTTCCTATAATCCAGTTTGTCCAAATAAAAATGAACCTGGTAGAAAAATATCTGAACGTACTCTTTTCTTTCCTGGTTGAGATGTACGTGTGGCGTAGTCGTCCGGCAGCTGGAGGTAGTCCTCTAGGTCCGACATGTGTTCACCTTCCCGTTTCCTCTTCCCGCCGATCATTAAACCGTCCAACTTGTCTTTAGAAAAGGAAGATTAGGATCCCGGTCACTTCGGCCCTCCCATAAAAACATTCACCCTTTCACCTTTAGTTAGACCAGAGATTTTAACACCTCAGGTGATATAAGTCATATCTAACAGACTCACTTTATTATCAGCATGCTACAACTCAAGATTGTTCAAACAACACGCACTAGTTAGATAACGTGTTGTTAGGTGAACACAGACAGCATGACTCACCAACAGGATCTTTGTACTATTGGTGAAAACAGTTATGTTTACAGGTGGGCAGTAAACTACATTTAAATTTGATTTTCACATTTGCAAATTCTCTGTAACTCAAATATCAGTATTTCTACTTAGTTACCAATGAGAAGGAACCCCCAAACCCTAAACTAAAATAGGTTACATGAGCTGCCCAAAAACTGTAGGTAAGCAACATAATGTTGCTGCAGAATCCTTTAAAAATTTGAGTCTTTAGTTGTCTGATTATTTGGCATTTCCCTTTGGGAAGCAACAGCATACTAATCAATAAAAAAATTACAGCTATTTCAGTATTTAGAATAAAGCAAATGGATGCCAATTGCTCTCGTCATGATAGTGAAAATGAACAAAATTCTAACAGTGAACCTTTCAGACAGAAATCTATCATATGGATGCAAATACCTCAACAGCCGTGGCAACATGTTTTGAGCAGGATAAAAATGTTGGTTTTGACAAAGTCTGCTGCTTCTGTGATTTTAGACATTTTTGTCTGTTGATTCTGTGACATTTTGAAGTAACATTAAAAGCAATTTAAAGGCCTGGATGGTTGGGTAGCATTTTTTAGAAAATTGTGAGGTCATCCACTCACTTGGATGAGAAGCACCCCCCACGGATGAACGGTCCCACAGTGCTTTACTGTTGGCATGAGTCAGCACTTATGTTAGCGGCCATGATTTTTTTGGACAATCAGATAAAAATGACTTCATTCCGCTCTCAGCAGTCCGCTTGCTGTAATTTTAGGAGAATATCCATCTGTCCCCCCTTTTTTTTTGTTTTTTTGGAGCGAAGCAGATTTTTTGCTGCCCTTCTTGACACCCAGTAACTCAATAAAGGTATTCGCCTCACTGTGCATGCAGATGCACTCTCACTTAACTGCTGCCATTCCCGGGCAAGCCCTGCATTGGTGGTTGCCGGATCCTACATCTTTAGGAAACAGTTTTCTCACTTGACGGACTTTCTTGGGCACCCTGAAACATTCTTCCCAACATTTGAACCCCTTTCTTTGACGTTCTTGACGGTCTGAAATTATTGTTTTGGGTGCCACCTTACTAGCAATAAAACTGTTGCTTGTGAAGCCCTTTTAATACAGCTCAATGATGGCTGCATGCGTGTCCTTGTAGGAAACCATGATTAATGGGAGGAACAATGATTTCATGCATTTGGTTGGAACACATCCAGTTTGCTAATCAAACCTGACCAGCATGAAATAATGATCTCCAGCCTTGTTCTTGTCAAAATTCTCAGCTGAAGAGGGTTATTGAAATGATCTCGCATGCATTTTTGTGGCAGCGATGAAACACGGTGAAATTTGTGTTCTTCGAAGGAAAAAGAAGGACTTTCCTAATCATCTGATCACTCTTCATAATATTCTAGAGTCTATGGAAAATGTCATTGTAAAAACTGAAGCAGCAAACTTTCTGAAAACCAATAAGTCATTCTCAAAACTTCGGGCAACGACTGTACGACACACAAATGTTATAAAACAAAATTTAGCAGATTTCATTTACCCACCGAGCTTTGCTTCAGATGTGTCCATCTCCCATTTGCTTTTTGGAATATAGCCCTACATTAAAGAAACACTGCAATGGTTAATAGTCTGGGTGGTGCCAGCATACAGGGAGAAAAAACAGAGAGCAGGTGAAAAGGGCTGGCTGGAAAGAAAGGAAACCGTTTAGTGGTTAAAATACAATCAACAAGCAAACGAATTAAACTGTATTAATGAGTGATGCATTACTAAATACTAAACCAGCATGCAGACAATTAAACATTACTTAATAAAGTAGATTCAGACTAGACCCAAAAAACATAACAAATGAAGATCAGCTTTGGAGAACAACAAACTGTTTTATGGATTTTCTCTGAGCTACTGATCACTGAACAGCTCCTTTTGTGCATTTCTTCAAATCTTTGTCAAACTAAGTCCGACACACAATGTTTTACACTGCTTTGTTTCACATCGCTCAATTTCAGATGCTTAGCAGATGTTCTTTTGAGTCAGGGTGGTAGCAAAGTGTTCATGTTTTAGTGTAAAGGACAAAAAAGACCATCCTGACAGATCAGTTTATGTTATATAAGAAAGCAAAACTTATTGAATATTCAATAAGCGGCTATTAACAGACATTAAGAATCTCACCAGACCATTGAGTAAGACCATTATAACATTTATCTATGCGGTGTCTATGCTGACAATGTATTTGTGAGTGTGTGTGTGCGCATATGGATGCATTAAGTAATATTTAGGTGTTCCTCCGCCTCCAAAAAAATGTCAGACTGAGTCGGAACCGCAAAAGAAAAGAGTATTCACGGAGAAGTGGCTGCAGGAGGTCGGCTGGCTTCAAACAAACGATGAACGCACAGAGATGTGGTGCAGATTATGCCATGAAAATCCCACCCTGGCAGACAAAAACAGAGCCTTCTACATAGACACTAAAGACTTCAATCATCCAGCGTTTGATAAACATGCCAACAGCAGAGAACATCAGAAAGTTGTCCTCTGCTGTGTGTGAACTGGAGGAAGCCAGTCAGGATAGTGAGGAGGATGAGGATGAGAGTCTGTAGAAATAAAAACGGCATTTATGCCATTTTAAAAACTTCAGTGCTCTGAAATATGAATTTTGTTAAGTGCTTTAAAATTCTTTTTTTTTTAATTTTTGTTGTCACAAAAGCAGCTGTTTGCACATTGTGTTCTACATTCAGACAATTCAGTCATGTTATTTGAAAATTAGAAGGTTTAAGTTAAGCTGGCAATATGTACTGTTGTACTTATTGTTTTCTGTCAAAATTAAAATATGTTGCATCATGAACGTGTTACTCTGTTTTGTTCCTATTGTGAGTTGGGTTAAGAATTAAGTGCATTAAAAAATGTGAGGACCAAGAAACAACCATAGGTTCTCCCCCGAGTACCAACTCAAAAATATGATGTGCACCCCTGAGTATAAATCAGGCTTAAGTGGTACAAACGCTCGATAGTTTGGTTGTAATTTACGATAAAGGATCAACAGGGAAACTTGCATAGTAGATATTTCATCAAAGGGAGGAAAGACGATGAATATGCAAAAGCATCTGAGTCCAAAATATGAGATAACTGAAAAGTGAATGTCATATTTTTGACCTGCGCAGGACTAGTGAATTTCAACACAGCACCTGTGGTGATGTTTGCACGTCCGCTCCTGTTAATACTGCAGGTAACTGATCAGCTAACCCTGCCAATCATGTTAGCATCATTTGCCTTTAGGGTTGTCACGGTAACCGGTGTAGCAGTAAACCCCAGTAAAAAAGTTGACAATAATAATAACAGTCTTGTTTTAAAAAAAAAAATCTATTATCTCTGTGGATTACCGTGGCTGGGATGTAGGGGCGGGTGACCCTTACCAGCCACCGTATCATCTGCTGAAGTTGCCGGCGACACATGCGCACTTTGTTTACAGCCAAACTTTCTTGAAACTAAAGAGGCCAAATAATGGCCAAAGGAGGAGACGGCAGCATTCCGGACATTTATTATCCCTCAAAGAAGACAAAGTGGGAAGTACGGGCATTTTTTGGATATTTGAAGAATGCCGAGGGACAGTTGATAGAAGACGGCTATCCTGTTTGCAGCACGTGCAGAAAAAGTGTCTGTGAAAGGCAGCAACGCTTCAAATCTCATGACCAAGCCCCCACAATGCGGCTCAAAATTTGAGTCCAACCCGGAAGTACCATAAATTGCAGTTCCACCCTCATCCACTAGGGGCTGGTGTCAGAAACGAGCAAATCCTCATTGACTCCCATGTTAAAAATACCAATTTCACAGCAGAAATAAACATGTTTACAGCCTGGTACCAAAACATGTTTTTGGTTTAAATGATCTAGTTTACACTCATGACAACTCTGAGGGGGGTGAACTTTTTTCTCACTCTTCTGTTTAAGTGTATTAAAAGCCTAAAATTCTGTATAATTAATGAGCATCAGACCCACGTGACCACAGAGCTAGCTCCGTGGAAAGGCCTCAGTAGAGCCTCGGTCTGGCTTGGAAACTGTTCCAGGATTTGAGTCTCTGTGTGTGTGTATTCTTGTTTGGATATTTTTTGTGCAATTGTTGGACAAAATGACTTGCTGTGGCATTAATTGCACTAATAGAGCGTCCAAGGAGTCTCCACTTCATTTTTTTTCGGTAAGTAAAATTATATTTATGTATTTTAGGTCACTGCCGAGCTGAGCTTAGATTTTAACATGTACTGTTTAACCATGAAACTTAAATGTAATAGGGTAAAACCCAGTGCATTTAACATAATGCTGCACTTTAGAAAATGGGTTGAAATATAACATGTTGGTGGAGCTGGGTTCTGACTATCGGCTTGTGGAGCTCTCGGGAGACCGATGTTTTCCACCCGGTTCTCCCCGCAGCTCGGTGCATCTCTGTCTGATCGCGGCTTCAGTCTGCTGCGCCGGGCTGCCGGCTTGTGGAGCTCTGGGATGGAAACCTTTCCACCCGGTTCTCCCCAGCGGCAGTTCTGCGCATCTCAGATCGCAGCGGCGCTTGTCTGCTGTGCGGCTGCCGGCTTGTGGAGGTCTCAGAGACCTCTGTGTTCCACCCGGTTTTACCCAGCGGTCAGCCCAGCGTATCTCTTGGGCCATTCCCATCTGTACCGGGTCAGCCCAGGCCGGGTAGCCCCAGTCGGCCCCAGCCTGGCCCGGTTGATTCCACACATCCTTGCCTTAAGCCCATGTGGGCTGATTCTACCCACCAATCAGAGGCTTGCTCTAATGGAAGGTGTGAATTTGCTGTCAGCAGTGGGTGTGTTGGCCCTGGTTGGCCTGAAGCAGACCCCCTCGAGAAGAGGGCTGAGAATGAGCCTTGGTTGGCCCGGGAAAATTCCAGGCCACCCAGATATGTAAACAACCTACGCTACCCGGCCCGGGCCGACCCGGTACTGATGGAAATGGGGCTTCTGACTCTGAAGCTCTGGTGTTGTGCACAATTAACTCCGGTTGTAGCTAGGTTGCTACCACCATTAGCTTAGCTACCACCTCCGCGTTAGCTTTGGGTTAGCTTCAGGTTAGCTTGTAGCTAGTTCGACCGAGTGTCGTCAGTTACAGCCCCACCCTCAGCTCCTCCTCTCTTCCCTTTTGTGGAATTGTCTGGGCTTGACGGAACCTGTGACGCGGTCAAAATGGCGGTGGTGGCCACCTCCCATTTGGCCTCAAAAACGTGTTGTTGGAGTCTATGGAAATGAATTGTCCAGTATATATGTCGTTGCTCATGACACATCTGCGTGACCATCACCCACAACTCTACAGTCAACGCAAGGCAAGCTAACGTTAGCGTTTTAGCTAAAATGCGTGATCCGAGGATTTGGGTTGAAGGAGAATGCAACGAGTCGCTATATAAAGCAGCCGCAGCGCCGCTACCTGCATATAAACCGTGTCACGGACACCGCCATGTTGAAATGACGCTATGAGTTACGGGGCTCCCAGGGGCAGATAAGAGTTGGTCTCTCTCTGAGAATAATTATGAATTTAAGAAAGATTACTGCCTGATGACATTTTCCCACATCTGCAAAGCTCACTGGAAGGACACAAACTGAGGATATTTTCCTGGTATAGGGTTTATTACTCAAGTAAGGGTGAAAAAGTATCTGATTAGAAGGCTACTTGAGTACTATCATCTGCTCTAATATTTTTAAATGATGACATCAAACAGACAAAAAATAAGAAGTTATGGGCAAATATTGGTATTTTAAAGACTAAAGGGGAAAAATGTAAACAAATAAACAACATAATTACAAAATAACACATTTTAGGCAAAATTTAGACACAAACTGAGGACAATATTTTCCTGATATACAGGGTTTATGTAGTTGTCTGAAAATGTAACACGCTTTAAAAAATACCGCAATAATACCGAAAACCGTGGTAATTTTGGTCACAATAACCGTGAGGTTACATTTTCACACCGTGACAACCCTATTTGCCTTATGTACACACCTCCACACTAGCAGACTCCAGCAACTAAAGTCCGACCTGTGGTGAGATGTTGCCCATTTTTTCAAAAGCTACAGCATAGGGGTGGGAATTGATAAGTTTTGATCATTTTCAGGTAGGCAGCAAAAAACAAATTGCACACGGATCTTGCATTATAACTTCCAGTTTCTTTATGATAAATAATCAATTGTACCTGTATCGGTTGGAAAAATCTTTCCAAATGTTCTCCTTTATGCTCCCATCTTGTTCAGTGCACTGTTACTGTAGCTTTTGTAGAGCAGGAAAAATGTCACCACAGGTCAGACCATTGTCACTGGAGCCTGCTGGTGTTGAGGTGTATATATAAGGTAAATGACGCTAACATGATAGGCAGTGTTAATTAGTTACCTGCAGCATTAACAGGAGAGGACGTGTGAACCGCTGCTGCTGCGTTGAAATTCACTAGTCCGGGTGGGTCAGAACACATCCATTACTTTAAGTTATTGTGTACCGTATTTTCACGACCATAGGGCGCACCGGGTTATAGGGCGCAGCTTCAGTTACCGGTGTCTTTTTGGTATTTAACACATACAAAAGGAACACCGGGTTATAGGGCACGGGCAC